ACATGAACAAGAGCTAATGAACATCAACGTCCCGAAAAGCCCCTGATTTGTCAACGTGATCGCAGAACGAGGTGCTTTTTGGTCTGAGCTTCCCTGTACTGAAAATCTCCCTCATGAGCGGGCGAATATTACCCTCTCCTCTATCCTTCGTCAATCCCTTGCTTCCTTTGTGACTCTGTTTCTTATCGCGTAATTCCAGCAGATGATTACCCTCTCTGTTCTTCCCCGCCGCCCCATGTTTCCCTTCCAGTCTCCCAACGAACTCGTGTAGTGCCGCAGCATGTGCCGTCTGGATATGTTGCAGCTCTTTCGCGAACGATTCTCGAAGGCTCTCTAGCTCCGTGGCATGCTTCTCGTTGAGCTGGGCGACCAGTGTTTTCTCTAGTTCTTCTAGTCGCACTGCGGTTGCTCGACTTTCTTCGTCTTTGAGACCCTGGAAATTCCCCTCAAGATCCGTTCTTTGTACTGTGAGCGCTTCCGTTGTGGCCTTTTCGTTACTTTCCAAAACCGCCGACTTTTCTGCCAGACCTGCCTGCAGTTTCCTACCAGCTTCCTCCGGCTGCCGCCTTCGCACTTCCAAAGCGTTCGATTTCTCTGCAGGAATTTGACGCAGATTTTGCACTTCTGCATCAAACTCTTGCTCGCGGGAAGGCGTAGCTTCATCTCTTTCCGTGAGTGTCTGCTGCACCTTTTTGACACCGTCTTCGAGCTTCTTGTAATCTTCTAGAGTGTAAGAATGTTCTAAAAGAGATATTCGCATATCTCTGTTCTCCTTGTCGAGGTCCTGGTCATCAGCCACCCCGTGAGCTCTTTGCGGATATTTGATTTCTTCCTGTAGCTGCCGCTTCTCACTTTCCAGAGCCTTTGTCTTCACAACAAGTTGTTGCAGCTCTTTAACTTCATCCTCCCGTTCCTGCTCTCGAATTTCCAGGTCTTCGGATTTTCTCCAGAGGCTTATTCGTAATGCTTGGACTTCCATCTGTAGCTCCTCCTTGTGAGATTCCAGAGTTTCGGTCCTTTCCTCCAGAGTTTGTCGTAAGTCTTCGACCTCTTGCTCTAGCTCCTTGTTATGACATTCTAAAGCTTCAAACCTTTCCGTAAGCATTCTTCGTAACTTTTTGATTTCTGCTTCCAAATCCCGCTTGTCACTTTTTAGGGACTTCGAGTTGTGTTGCAATGAAGCCACATTTACTTCCTGCTCCTGTTGTCGACATTCCATAGTTGTCGACCTTTCCGCAAAATTTTGGCTCAATTCTTCGATCCCTTCCTGTAGCTTCCGTTTTTCATTTTCTAAGGTTTCAGATTTTTCAGCGAGTGTTCGTCGTAGCTTTTCAATCTCTTTCTCTAGCTCTTGATTGCGACCCTCTAGGGCTCTAGAATTTCGCTCAGAAGATGTTACCTTTTCTTCCAGTATCTGCTGGAGAGTCGACTTTTCCGTAAGATTTTGTTGTAATGATTTCACTTGTTTCTCTAATTCCCGCTTGTTACGTCCCATGTCTTCGGACCGTTCAATATAATCTTGCCGCACCTCTTTGATCTCCTTCTCCAAATCGGCATTGGTTCTGTGTGCGGTTTCCAGCTCATTCTCTGTGGCCTGTAATTTCGCTCGAGCAGTAGCTACTTGCGTCTGAAGCCCTTGAATCTTGTCGTTCAAAAGAGAGCACTCTGCAGCATTTTCGCTGATCAATTTCCGCATCTGGCCCCTCAACGCTTCGATGTGAAACTCCTTGTGCATTACGGCTTGTTCAAGAGGTAGTTTGTTTTCAGTCTTGTGATTTTCCGCATCCCGATAATCTTGGTCAGTTTTGGGGATACCGTAGCTGGACATCGGACGACTGATCTTTGGGCCATCGTGCTTGATCCATCTGTATATATACTCGCCAGTATTGCTATCGTCACCTTCTAGTCGGGTTGCTTGGAGAAATGATGGGGCTGGCGATAGAGGGTGATTCCCCATCGAGAAGCTATCGCGATGTCGGTAAACATTGCGAGGAGACATTGTCTTGTATGTATGCCTCAAGTTGAGCTCCTCGAATAGCGATTTTGAAGAAATATAACTTTTTCTATATCGGGATTGAGTGGGTAACATAGAGAAAGAATGCGGGGGGAATGACAGTGAGATCGAACAATTGCAACAACACCAACCGATAGTGAAAAGCAATAATTATGCTGAAGATATTACTACATTTGTCGCTAATCTCGGAATGACGATGAATCATGCAAAGCAACGTGTTGCAACAGCCCCTCCTTTGGAGGGCACCAATGGAGTTTAAAGCAAACGGCGCCATCCGCCAGCCATATTCGCAGTAACAGAGGGCAAATCTCGAAAGAGCCAATTTTAAGTTGTGTCTCCTTTTGGTTTCACCTTGCTATGAGACATAAATTTGCCCCATTTGTGTATGTTTGGCGGTGGCCATTACTTTAGCCAGGGAAGAGCATGATAAAAAGGCCCACGTTGGCACGGGCAGGAGATTTGTGTTAAATAACCCGCTCCGTGTAAACCCGTGCTGAAATATGAGAAGAGATCACCAAGAACGCTTGGAGGAAGGCCAAAATCTTAATAGCTCAACGACTAAATTGGCAGTCTATGATATCATTGAGTGACTTTGTTTAATGATTTTCCCATCACGACACCGCTTTCCGCCCATTTCCGAAACCGATGAGCGTTCTGGCTACCCGAAAACCGGCGAGTACAGGTTTCTGATCATGCCAGCCTGGCTTGACTAGCGCAGCCGAGTTTGTTTATGCTGCAGACCTGGGCGACGCGCCCAATTATGAGACTCCTTTATGGGAGGTCGGCCCTCGACGCGAAGTGTAGGAGGGTTCCTTGTTCCTCCGTCAACCCCCACATATAATTCGACTTAAATTATTCCATTCCGCTCCAATTGTGTTTCTATGCCAAGCTAATAGTTACATGGAGTAGTGAGTCTGATTCCAAAGAATTTGCTGATGTTTTTTACCTAATAATTTATATGCCCTAGGTGTTATGAATTATGATACAAACTCCGAAAATTCCCCACATAAAGATAGAAGGGCAAAGGGAGGAAACATCAGCGTTTCCCAACGCTAAACGCTACAAAGGAAAACCAACAGGCTAGGTAACTCCGCAACGGTATCCCTCGTATTGAACCCCAAGGTGCTTGTAACCTTCAAAGACGATTGTCATGCTCACATAGGAACAAGCATCTTATTCGGCATGAAATGGAGAAATACGGGAAACACGGAGAGTCGAGGGTGGTTAAGTTTAAAGTTTGGAATATCAGCATCTTATTTTTGTACGGGGTTTCACGCCAACTCAGAAGAGAATCAGTCGAATACAATCTTTTTCCCTTGGAAGGCGGCTTGGCTCTTCTGTTCCTTGGCCTTCTTTGCCGCTTCCCAGGAAGGATGCAGCGGTTTTTGCTCAGATGTTTGGGGAGCCTTGGGGCGCCCAATATTCCGATCCGGAACTCGTTCAACACGTTTGTCCTTTGGTCTTCGGAAAGACATGGCTCTCGGAAAACCTCCGCCTCTGCCACGCTTCCCTCTCATAGCATCATGAGATGTAGCTCCTTTCCTCATATCCCAGCCACTATCTCGTGACCTATCTTTCTCCTGCGACATTTTCATAAGGTGGTTAGCACCTGAGCCAAATTTCTTCTCCCATAGCTTTCGTCTGGCTTGTTGACCCATCCTATTTTTCCTCGGTTGGATTGCGGCTGCAACTGCGGTAGCGTCCTCATCGGCGGACTCTGACCCAGACCAGTAGCCTCCCACTGTCAGGGAAGGGAGAAACGTTGTTTCGGGGTTTTTGTTGGTAAACTTCGAACCGTTGATTTTGGCTGCCGGTGTAGAGTCTGCTGATGCCACCGAGGACGCCGATGAAAGGGACAAATCTGCTGCTGGATCATACCTGGCAGTGTTTCTTTGTGGTCGTGCATCACTGCCCTCATCGTCATCATCTGATCCTGATTCTGAAGAAGACGCCAATCGCGCATTTTGTTGATCCAAGTCTGCATCATCCATTTCCAGATCCCCCTCAAAGTCCTCGTGTTCCCCAGAGTTCAACTTAGCCCCAACCTCATCCGACAGTTTGGATTTCAGGTTGGTGGTGTTCTCATGGTCTTTCATCTTTTCAGCAGGGATCCCCTCCACAATACCTAAAATTCCACGTATGCCGTCTATTATCCCCGGAAACACATCTCTTACTGGATTTGACTTGAATAAACGTGCTATAACATTAGCCTTTGGTCCATTCTTTGGGCCTTCAGGTAGTGGTCTCTTTTCCGATAGCTTCGCAAACGCTGGAGATTCCGCAATTCGTTTCGTCTTCACAAGATGTTTGAGCAATTGCCGTTCCGCAGTAACTGTTAAATCCAGGCACTACACTTTGTCAATTCCGGATCATTATACACGTAGCTTGATAGTAAATCACTAAACTCTACCTTTAGAGCTTGAATTTCCTCGCTGATCCGCGATAGTTGAACCGTTTCATTCCTCTGTTTTGCAGTTTTCTGGCGTCGTCCAAGCTTCTGGCGTTCGAAACCCCGGGCAGTTTTAAGAGCTCGATGGATTAGCTGAGAGCCATGCACAATTTTCTGTTCCAAGACGGCAATTTGGGCACCCAGCCTCCTATCCTCCGAGTTGGAAAGATTTGCCTCTTCAAATTCAGTGCGTTTCCGCTTAGGCATTCTTGTGCAATTGAGTGATTCCCCTAGATTCCGTAGTCGTATGATATATCCGTTGCCCTCCCCCCACACATTGACATTGAAATATACGCAGGAAGTATAGTCGTTGGATAGAATATTTTTCCCGGTTCCTTGCGAAGTTTATCGATTTTTGGGCGCAATATCACGTGGACAGTGCTAAGTCAGCACGGCTCTCGAACCTTTGCGCGGCCCCTGCATACACGAATTTTAGCAGCAGAACGGCTAACTAAAGAGTTCGCGAGAGAGCTGGCGATATAAAAATGCTGCATCGGCATTCATACACTAGATTTTATAACTACAATAACAGCTGTCATGGCATCCGCATCACCAGAGTCGCTGCCCAAGGACCGCAAAGGACCGAGAGGTAATAAGCGCGCCCGCCACGTCTGTCTTCGCTGCCATGAGAAAAAGGTAACAACCGTATGCATGAAACCATGATCCGTATAAGTTGACCGCTATCACAGATCAAATGTGACTTGCAGGTGAACAATTCTGAATGCGAATCTCCCCGTTGCTCAAGGTGTGAAGTCGCCGGATATGAGTGCCGGTAAGTGCATCAATTGAGCTGGGATCACCGAATTACCATCACTGACATGCTTTAAGGATTCGTCTCTCCAGACGTGGAGCAGGTAATCGGGGTTCTGTTCGTCATGGTAGCTTGGATGCCCCCGATGCATCTGAATCTTTGCCTGTTGTGTCGTTGCCATATGACCCGACTGCTAGCTCAACACCAAGCAACCAAAGCCAGGTTCAAGTTAAACCCGACCCGTCCACTCACCTGCCGGCACCAGATGACCGGCTGGTCACCGAAGGTGCCTCTCCGCACTTCTCTGCGGCAGTTAGGAGGCCACCGCCCTCCTACCCTGGCACTCCAGAAGGGAGTCGGCAACTAACGGTTCAATTTATGTCAAACCGTACAGACAAGCTACCAACAAACTGTCGCGAAGGGAGCCAAGTTCAAAGCCCATTGAATTCCGGCGAAGCTGGACTTTTTCACGTTCTGGATAGTGCATCTGGAATTGATCACCTCAACTTAACCCACCCCTCAGGGCAACCCATCGACTTACCACCACCGGCATTGCAAGAAAGCTTCATGGACACATATTTCCAGTATTGCTACCCATGGTGTCCCATTTTCGAAAGCTCTACGCTGTTTTCGGAGCAGGAGGAGTCGAATTCCATACTCCTCAATCAAGCATTGGCGCTTCTTGGCAGCCGAATCCAGCCACCAGTTCTACTGCATGTTCCCCCAAGCGTTTACTATGACCGTGCGAAAGCACTCTTTTACGGAAACCACGAAAGCAACCCGATAACATGCGTAAAAGCGCTCCTCCTATTTTATTGGTGGGGCTCAGCGCCAAATAGTCCCAGCCTTGATACCGTCTGGTGGTGGACCGGAGTTGCGATACGGCTCGCGCAACAAATTGGCTTGCATCGCGAACCAAAACCTGGCCAAATTATGCGACCAAACGAAACCCCTGGTTTGCGGCGAAGGATTTGGTGGACCTTGTTTGTAAGTGGGCCAGATGTTGCATATTATTATTGAATCATTCTCTAATATAACTTGCAGGCAAGAGAGCGACAAACCAGTATATGCCAGGGAAAGCCTTGTATTATCGATCCTTTAGATTGCAATGTCCGAGAACCGTCATTAGATGATTTTCCAGAACCGAAGGATCATTTTCGAGCCCAAGTGTTCATACATTGGGTCCGGCTTTCAGCTGTTGTCGGGCGAGTTGCAAAATACCTCCTACAGAAACCAGAAACGACACAATTTCGGGGCCATTTAGCTAGGGAATTGGTTGACTGGGTGCAGTCTCTTCCTGAAGCGTTGCGTCTACCCATCGCAACTAATCGTACAAACCCATTCAACCGAGACGTGCACCAACTACATTTACCATATCTTACCACAATAACCCTTCTCTACCTAACCAAATCGTCCCAGCCTCTTCCAAAGGCATACATCACCGCGGTTCTTTCTGCGTCTTGCGTTGCCCGTATTTTCGAAGACTTCCTCGCGCGGGGGTCCATTCGATTTCTTCAGGGCATGGCAGGATGGCACATCGCCGTTGCGATCTTAGCACTTCTCCATGTGCGACAAATCCCGCCCCTTACCGAAGCCGCAGATAACCACATCAGCATCCTCAAAATCGCCCTGAAAGAGATGGCCAAAATGTGGCCATCTGCCAACATGCTGGACAAGGAATTTGATCGCTTGCCCGCCAGCAATGAATTTGCCGTCTCCGAAGAAAGATCCCCCACACGCCCAATAGATCTAAGGCCCACCAACTCACTCTCTGAGCTGGCAGATCTTGCAACCGGGACACTTATAAACTCCATGGACTTTTTCCCGTTTGCTACGATTCAGACAAGCCCTGTGGTCGAAATCCTGTTAACACATAGTTCTACGATGATTTTCTCTGAGCTGAATTGGCCGCGCGATATTTCAGCACAATTACACGGTTTGCTGGATTCGTTCGGAGGTGTTTAATGATATACTTTCCGATTCTGTAAGCGCACAGCGATGTTTTCAAAATTTAAAATTACCTGTCGTTTTCTTTATATACTAAAACGGTTGGGGGGAAGATTGTTCTATGCAAATTTTTGTACAGCGGCTTTGGAAATCAAGGGATACAGACTACTGGGGTCGTGATTGCCATCATGAGAGACGACTGGAGTTTACCATTATATGAAATGTTCGGTTTTATTTCCAATTTTAATAAATTTATTATGCATGTTTTTGTTTTCCTCTTGCATTGCACGGTGTGAGGTCGGATTCTTATAGTAAAAATGCAGTTGGATGGCTTTCAAAGGCATCGAGAGTTGGCCTCTCATCCATTCGCCTCTCACCCACAAGTTCCACCTAGATTATTTGAAACACGGGGTGCTGAAATCGCCATGGAAAATAATAGACGACTATTTCACGGTCCGAATATAAGACATGGTATAATATTTACAGAAGAACTTTTGGATGATATCTTGCGCATGGGAGTGTCATATCTAGGGCGGTGTCGGCATACCCGCACACACAAGGTTGCATGCAACGCTGTTCGGATGCAATAGCCGGCCTTGCCAGTGCCGAGTCGATGGTTTTGTTTTTTGGTTGCCGATGGCCGAATCTTGGCAGTTTCCCGAGCCCCACTTCTATCGGCTAAACTCAAGCTCAACCACGGTTCTTTATGAAAAAAAATAATAAAAATAATAATAAAAATAAAAATAAAAATAATTAAAATAAAATAAAATAAAATAGCGTCCGCGCTGTCTTCATTATTCTCGCAACTCTCATGCCATCCAATATTCGATGAAGCCACCGACAAATATCTGGTTTGGCTAGGTACTTCCTAACCAGAATTCTCTATGATTGGAGAGCAAAAATGGCTGGTAGAAGTATTTGAAAAATGCTTGAGAAAACCAAGGTTCCCCACCGGCTATCTATCCATGGAAAATATTGGAACTCGCTATTCCTCTCCAAAGTAATGCTATTTCACTACTGGTAACTAACAATATGGCGGGGGCGATAGGGCGTGTGTGAAAACAATACTCCCGCGCCGGAATATCCACCTCTTGCGAGGTCGCTTATTCCAAACGGTTTTACGGTGCAACATGAGCTTGTTCTGATCTCTGAGATCAAATTCATGTTGGCTATTTTCTCAATTAAGCTGGTGTGTTTTACCACATGCCGGAACGCTACCGTGTTTACACCTTTGTATGTCGACCCAGTTGTCTCACACCTTGAGCAGTGCTTGAGCTCAGGCATGGAATATCTTTTTTAAAAAAAAAAAAAAAAAAAAACTTGCGGCGAATAGCTAAAGTTAGGTAAGATGCTCTGGAATATAGACAAAACCTCCATGGCTGCCACTAGTTCCTACACTCTACGAAGGATGGCAGTTTGAAATACCTCTCTATCTTGCCAGCATCCTGTTTTGTTCCATAACTAATCTGAGGATAGGAGTGTTTTTAAAACCAAGCTTTTAAAACCAATGAAGTCTGGATTCAAGGTAGGCGGCTGACGAAAACCACTTTTGCCTCCCATGTTGCAAGAAAATAGTCTGTAAAACTATCCTTACAAGCTCAACGTGTTACGACGAAATCCACTCCCGAGGGAAGCTCTTGAGGTAGGCTTTGTTGGACCAGCAACGCGACTAGCATGCCAGATCCAGCTTTTGTTGAGGCAGGTATTGATAGCTTCTGATTCCTGCTGTCAAGATTTATTGGGTAGTTAATTATCTTAGGAATGGTGGATGTCGCGTTTTCTCGACCACTGGTCGGATTGAAGAACCGACGAGCAGGTGCAAGCGTCTGTCACAATTAGCTCTTCAATTGATTTGAATCGACAACAAGCTCCAACTGTTTCGCAAACTGCATTGCCGGTGAGCAAAGTAGAAACGTTCCTTCGACGGGTCAAACATGACATTGTGGGGGTGAATACCAGGCCGTCGTGAATGCAATTGGAAGAATTTGTTATCTAACTCTGGTCACAATACAGTGGGCATTTAGCTAAGTTACTATTAGGTTAAATAAACTTTGCCGACCGATGCCCAACCTGAAGCCAAACGTTTCTCTATTCTTCACCACCGTCCCGACCTGCCGATCCATTACCAACCTTACGCTCTATCGACTCACAGCATCATCAGATCAGGGTGGGGGGGAAAGAAAGAAAGAAATTGATTCACTTTCGGAGAAACGCAGAAAAACAACATGAGGGTCGGAGGGTTTAATACAAAAGGGGCAAAATAAGGCGTGGTTTTTCTCGGTATTTCCAAACCCCCGAAGCAGCAACAGTCAAAAATTCTCCGCAAGAACTTCTGCATTGGTGCCAATGCTTCTCTTTTCTTTTTTTCTCAAATCATAGTCTCAAGTACAGTACGCCATTCATATGCCCATAACTTCTAAGAAGTTTGTGCTCTCTATGTTCACTATTAAACGGAGCTGAAGCCGAAGTTCAATAATGACTTTCAAATACCCGCCATACTACATTTCAGTACATATGGTTTGTCTACAATGAAATGGATTTAATGGTCGACACAGAATTGCTGCATTTTCAATAAAATTTTGGATATACTTGCCTCGATAGTTGGTTATAGGTTCTATCGTCGCTAACTGTGACTGGAATATGATCCTATTTCATGTTGCGAAGGTAGTTCTCATCACTTGCTCCTTTTACTCCCATGACTCCTTATGGTTTATATCTCCGCCCCGCCTCAGAGTTATATAAACTAGTTGCCTAATGGAGGGTTTTCAAGGACCAAAAATAAGCCCAGAGATTTGCGGCTGAGCACAAATGCGGAGAAATAAAAAGCATATGTCGACGCCGTATTTAACTAATTGCTACTCCCTGCATCACCATTTCAATTCAGGTCGGCATGGCCGGTTGGGATATAATTACGCGATAAATGCCTTTGAAAAGAAGAACCAAGCTCTGCTCCAGAATATACCGAGATATACTTTCCATATATACATGCGCCTCTTCGAGAGCATCGTGGGCCCATTGTCTCCTTCACAATGTCCGCCAAGGCAATTCAATACCTGCTACCCTTCACTTTCATCTTCGCCATCTATGCCATCGCTATATTTGGGAAACAGAATGGCTTCATAGACATGCTCGATCAGAACGTTGAAAATGGCACGCTGCCTGAAACGGACGAGCGCTTGAGAACAACCTTCACTGGTGTGCATGCGGTGGACAATCTACTTACTACGTTGGTCTCCTTTTTCTGGCCAGTCGTCGATGGTAGTTCGCCCAGCCTATCGCTACACGGGTTGAATTTCGCTGGAGCCCTTGGTGCATTGTGGGTGTTGATTCTGCTAGAGTCGTTCCGGACTGGGAATAAAGCCCGTTTCGTGTTGTAGTACGTGATAATGTTTTCATTAAATACATCCCGTCCGATTGATCATTTAAAAGGCCCAAGGCTCCCTGGGGGTACAGCATTGAAAACATGTAATATATCAGCTGCACGCATAAAGCTGCTTTCTAACCGTGATAACACAGTCCCGTTATATTTGGCCTGCTCTTCCAGCTGGTAACATTGGGCATCTCCATCCCCATTTACGCCGCTCTACACCTTTACACATCAAGGACACTCTCCAACCCAACCCGCCAGACCGTCACTATCCGCCCCTCCTCCCTCACAGGCGTGAAACTCATTCCATTTAGCGTAACACTGGGCTACCTTCTCCCGTCCATTTTCCTTGCACTCCCCGAAAGCAATTGGGTCCCTCTCCAATCGACACAAGAACGAATCGCCTTCTGGCAGCCCTGGCCCATCTGGGTATGGCTCATCCACTCCGCAACCACCAGGATCACAACCGCATTATTCCGCTCCAACAAAGCCCTATCTGCCAAGCAGACTCTCTCCACCCTCCGGTACGTCTATGCTTTCGCCTTCACCCTTGCCGCTGTATCGCACATCACCACATGGTCTCTGTCTTTCACCACAATGATTTTTCCTATCTTGTTTGCTCGCGACTTCGCAGCCGCTTTACACCCTGCGCGCGTATTTTTGAACGCTATGCCCTGGTCAGGCGCGCGGGCGAAGTCGTGTGGTGAGGGTGCGCTCTGGTTCCTGCAGTGGGATCAGCTGCTAGGAACCGGTTGTCTACTGCTTTGGGCTATATCTCTGTATGTGGCGGCGCATCAGGCTCGAAAGCTCAGTGTTAGATGTATAGGGCTGGGGGTTAAGGTGGCTTGGCTGTGTGCTGTTTCTGGCGTGGCTGGCGCCGTGGTGGAGTTGATGTGGGAGAGGGATGAGTTGGTGCTTCAGGAGCAGGCGGAGGAGCAGGGAGCGCAGAACGAGCCTGGGAAATCCAACAAAAGGTGATTTAAATATGTTGATGGATGTAATGTGATGTCAGGCCGAGAGGTTTTCCCTGTCCATTTATATTTCTTTTTACTTCAGTATCTTTTCCATTTGAATTTGAGGTATTTTGGATTGTGAGGATGGGATTTTGAAGACAAATTCCAGGGAACAACAAATGCGTGCTTGAGAAGTTACACAGGCAAGATAGTTGGCGATGGATTCATCTTCATAATTAACGAATCTAGGCGACAACTGTGTGAAGTGTTTATTTACATAAAATTGGTATAACAAAAATATGGTTTTGATGCAAGATTGGGTTGCCAATAATAAAAGGGGGTGGATTATTATACACCCTGTCCATGCTACTTTTTTGGTTCCTCCTTTTTCTCTTCAGGTTTTGGAGTAGGCAATTTGAACTATTATCGCGAGTGGATATATCAGCATGCAATATCAACATGAAGGAGATTATTGGAATTAACATACTTCACTTGGCTTCTTGTCGATACCTTCCCCAATTTGTTCCCACGCAGAAGTTCCGCCTTCAAAATTCCTGAAGGCCTGGGTCAATTCCAATGGCTCAACGACTATTCTCTTCTTCTCCTCATCATATCTAATTTCTGTGTATCCCGTCAATGGGAAATCCTTTCTTAGGGGGTGGCCATCAAAACCATAATCCGTCATGATCCGCCGGAGGTCCGGGTGCCCAACAAAAAACACGCCGAACATATCATATACCTCGCGCTCATACCACAACGCTCCATCGTACAAACCGGTGATGCTTGGGACGGGGGTAGCTTCGTCTGCGTAGGTCTTGACGCGTATCCGCGAGTTGTGGCGCACGCTGAGAAGATTGTACACGACCTCGAAGCGCTGGTCGCGGGTGGGGAAGTCGACAGCGGTAATATCGGAGACTTGAGTATATTCCGCCGCGGTGTGTTGTTTGAGGAAAGTGAAAACCGGGATGATTCCGGACGGAGGGACGTATATAGTCAGCTCGTCCTTCCAGACGGAAAACTGTTGGATGTATTTGGGAAGACAGGACATGAGGTATTGGCCGTATTTGTGTAAGGCTGCGGACTTTTCGGCATATTTGTCAACGGGATTGACGACAGCGTGGTGGAGTTCGCCAACAGCTGGTTATGTGCAGAGAGTCAGCAACACAGATCCAATTAAAAGAGACTTTGATTAAACCAGGTTGCTAGAGGAGGTGAAGTTTAGCTGACATGGGCGAGGCGCTTCCCGCATATTGGGAGGGTTTGTGTTGGACACAACCTTTGCCTGCTGTAAAGGGGCCACTGCGGAGAAGAAGCGAACGGATGGGGGTCTGGTAACGGCAACCAGGGAGCGGCTGCTCCCCAGACGCATGACAGGCCTTGCGGACGCCATGGCTGTGGGTCAATTGGGAATGGCGTGAGGAGAAGGCTGAGTGAATAGTTCTGGTTCTCAAAATGAAGCCTTGGGATGGGATGAAGGTTATGGATTATGTAAGCTGTACTATATGTCATGTGATTATACTTTACCTGAATAAGAATAGCGCAGGAGTGACAACCTGTGATTGGCAGAAAAACTAGGTGCTGATCTAAGCGGCCCAAACAGGCCTAGCGCCTACAGAAAGCTCGAACCTCCTCTTTCGTTCCTCATCGTCTTTTTTTCTTTTCCATCCGTCTTCATCACGCACACTGGCACCAACAATACACTCTGCTTGGCCACTGGATTCATATATCCCTTCTTGGCCTGCTACTCTCTTCACCTGCTGGCTCCGGTTCTGCGGCGTTGTTGTTTATAGCCGCTGTCGAACTTCCAAGGCTGTTTCCTAATCAGATCTCAACCTTTCCCCAACTTGTTCATGTGTCCTGGCACGCTGGATCAATTTCATAGTTGTAGTAGAAGTGTTGCGCTAGGTTGGCTGGGAGAAGAAGTGCGAGATGTCCTCCCGAACCCAAAATGACTCAGTTATTGATGATGACGACGAGTCGTGGTATGTTATGCTCCCCACTCCCTGCTGGTTCTCTTGTCGATCTCTCTTGGTTAATATGTATTCTGTTTCTTCGTAGTCCCCTCTGCATTGAAGAGTTTGACCTGTCAGATAAGAACTTCAAACCATGCCCCTGTGGATATCAGGTAT